TCACAGAAAAGTTATTACAGTATAACTAGTACAATTACTATGCATGAAATGTATTTCAGTAGCTAAATATATGCTGAGGAGTATGAAGCGTTTCTTCTCAACTAGAATTTCGAGCACTTCAGAAGTACAAATGAAAAATTAGCATTTGCCAGCGCAGTAGTTAAATGAAAACCAGCATAGACCAGCCAAATAATATTAATGCGATACAATTTTACCAGTTAATAACAGATATTCTATATAATTTACATAAAATTTATTTTTATTAGGTTTAGTAATCTTAACTTCAAAGTTCAGTTTGAAAAATACCCACCACAACTGTACTATTCAAAGTAGTTATAGGATTCTGAAGTGTCACACAATGACAAAATGTCCAATCTTCCCACATGCATTTGATATACAAGTAAAAATGGAAATTAAGATACCCGATTGATGCAAATACTCTGTTGTTTCAACAAAAAACAATTTTTTCTCTAAAAATACAATTGGAAAAAAATATATATATCATAACCAGAATTCTGGATAGATCCTATTAGAGAACCAAGTATTTTATTTTCTCAATAATCCAGTTAAGTCTCTTAGAACTAAATTCATAAAATAAAGGAAACATATGAACATGAACTTGCCACTCATATTAGTCTCCAAATACATTAGTCAGAGTTCTTAAATCAAAACGTTCTGGTGTGAAGGTTATTAAAACCCTCTTTCTGTGCCAATGAAATATTTTTGTTCCTTGGATTACATGACTTGAAGGTTTCACTTCACAGAGAGATTAATAAATGTTTAAAGATGAAAGGAAAAAAGCTTCTGAATTTGAAGCATAACTAAGAATTAGCCTACTGGTAAAGTTACCTTGAGGATGCAGTCCTTCAGTGTTTAAAGGAAAGAGTTCACCTAGGTCTTTTTAGCTCTAGAGTAAAGTCACTAAGCATGTAAGATACATTCAGCGCTGCTTTAATGTATTAATATCTTTCAACAATCAGGACTTTCTTCAGAAGTTTGTATAAAGCTGTGTTTACATTTACAGACTTGAAAATCCTCCCTTTCCTGTACTCCCACACACTTCTAATGCAACACAAAGTGATATGACAGCTTTGATGTATTTAACGCATCCAATAAAAAGAAGTGATGCTTCTAACAACTGCCCCTCTCAATCTCTGCCAACAGAGAGATGCACCCCTTCTTAAAAAGCTGAGCAACAGTTAAAGACTGTGGAAGAAAAAGAATACATATACTTACTCTGACAATGGTTAAAGTAACTTGCTTGCTTTACTTTCCAGAAACTGTCTTTTGTTTTCATAACCAGCTAAATTTCTCACCCCACTATTTCTGCATCTTGTAGATAGGCCCATATTTTCACCCTCTTTATGGCTTTGCCTAATTTCTTGTCAATCAATTTTATCGTGGCAGCTTTGAATATTATCAAGCTCTGCAATTTTCTCTATTGTATGTCAGATGACCAAAACTCTTTGTGCCCTCCCTAGAGACATTTTTACAAGGTTTTTCACAGTCAGCGTTGTCTGGACAGCTCCTGACAAGTCATTCCATCTCCTTTTCTGTGTGGGTTTTTTTTTTTTTTTAAACTGTTTATTGTACTTTTGCTCTGTAGTCTCCCAACCTGACAGAAGAGCTGTGTCACTTTGGCACAGAACTTGCAAATATGCCATTGTCCTGCAATTGCCATTTGCTGAGGGGTTGCTTACCTGGAAACATTGCATTGCTTTACAGTTTATTTTTCTTATGGCCCCTCTTACACTAAATCAATAAATCCATAGACACAAGTCTTAGAATCCAATAAACAATTACTACTTCTCTCTCATCCTTAAGAATCACAGAATTACCTCATCACAACAGCTGTAATATTACTGTAGATCAACACCATGTCTTCCCTTTCAATGCCCGGCAATGTTGTGCCAACGCACTCCATAAGACCTGAGAGCAACAATAGTATTTCTATGGTCTTCTCAATACGTGAAGAGCTGTGCAAGTAGATGCATCCCCAAAGCACTTGTGACAGCAGGATGACAAACACCTCTGATGAGAACTTGATAGAATGAGATGCAGGGACTTGTCTGAGGCCTGACGCAAATCACTCACAAAGGCGTAACTGAACTCTGAATTGCAACTCCCATAAATCACATAATCAAATAAATGCTTTTTAGAAAAGACAGCTTCATGGTACCTTATAACTGATATAATCACTTGTATTGGCATGGAGTCCATAGGGAAAATTTTCCATGTTCAAATTCAGAAAGCTGACCAAAAAATGAATTCCACAACGTTTAATAAGCTCAGGCTCCTTATCTTCGCTGGCCTTTAAGCGGCAAGGTTAATCACGAATGCCCACGACTAGTACAAAACATTAATCCATTCAAAAACAATGCACAATGGCTCATTCAGGGCCGCTGCGCCCATTACGTCGACCAGTCCTTAAGGACTCCAAAACGTACATTTGTTGAAAACAATAGACAGCAACAGATGCTCCACAGCACTTGTTTATGAAGTAATTCCTCATTATTCCGCCACACCGCCACGGTCAGCT